GATTCTACAGCTGGAATTTAAACTTTGCTGATAGATTCTACAGCTGGAATCTTTCTCCTTAATTTTTCCAACCCAACAAATTCAACCTGTTGTTCGACCTCCTGTTTTTGTTCTTAGTTTTTGAATTTGTGTTGGTTGGAGAGTGTGTTTTCCTGACCAAATGATGCTAATGATGGGTAAATCTGAATCAACCATGAGTCCAGGGAATAAGCTCCTTTCCCAGAAAAACTGGCAAAGCACATTGCAGCTTTCCCCAACCCAAGATCAAATTTGAGTTCTCCCTAAATTTGACCATTTTGGAAATTCAACAAGAGAATAGGAATATTTGCCTTCTTACCCTGGAATTGGCTTCTTTCCACTGAGTGATCCAGTTCTGCCAATGGTCAATTGACCATCACCCAATCCTGGTCTATCCAAAGCAGAAATCAAGAACACCTTCCATCCAGCCCTACTCATCTCTTTCTCTTTCAGAAATAAGATCTTGGTGATTGCTATTGTGTTCCAGATCTGTATAGGCTGCTTCCTCTGTTATTGCCCTGGGATGCCCAATATCTTCAATTTTATGCCCATACGGTAAGAACTCGTACAACTGGTATTCTAACCTGAAAAAACCACTTCGCGAATGTTCTCATGAAGACATGCTACAGAGCAGAGCTATTTGGAAAAGCCCATAGCCACCTCTGAACTTGTCTCCCCAAAACCTCAGATGCATGATTTTGTGTGGTTGGTTGTGTCACATTGTGATTTGCAAGAAATGGCTTTCAATGCTGTATCATGTAAGAATCATAGCAACTCTGGCAAACATGAATAAGGAAAACCAACGTTCCCTTCCCAATTCTTGCTTCTCCCCCTCCATTGTAGGATATTACTACACACTTAGCATAGCTATAAATCTCAACTCTCCAGACACTTTACCCTTTATGCAGGAATTAGCTAACTCAGCCAAAACAAAACAAAAAACCTCCCAGAAAACTCAACAATCTCTACTAATCACACAAAAAATAAAACATGAAGTTTGGAGATATAGATTTGTCCACTGCAGTGCACAGACATCAATGACTGTATTTATATATTTGATTTACAACCTACTATTTATAACAAGAGCTCAAGGCAACCTATAGTGCAAATTCTTCCAATTATTTTCCCAAAACAATAACCCTATGAGGAAGGTAAGGTTGAGAAGAGGGAGGCCAGCCCAAAATATAGAAGGAAGCTTCTATAGCTGAAGGCTGATTAGAACTTGGGCCTCCCCATTTCTGGTCCTTTACCACTGTACCTCACTGTCTCTCTTTAGGTTTATATTCTTTATATATATAATTCAGGGTTTACATCCTAGTTAGTTTCCTCTCCTTCACAAATCATTTCTTGTTTCTTTAGGAAACCACACCTCACATTTTAGAAATCCTTACTCAACTTGCTCTAATACGTATTTTCCTCCAGCTGCACTTCCATTGCCTGTTGTTTCTCCTATGCCATGCCATCAAACATTTAGATATTAAATTCAACAAAGCAACCGCGGCTCATTTACACATCACCTTAAAACAACAGTAAGTACAGGCGCATGGAAAGACAATGAGGAGTTAAAGAGCTAGAAGGCTACAATTTAGTCCTCCTGATCCAATTCTCCCCTTTAGCTAAGTGGGAGAAGGCAAATCCTCTCACAAGAGGGAACTTCCTGCAGCTCAGCTCAGCACCAAGGACAGCAGCCACTACTGCCCTACCTTACAACTGGCCTCTTTTTCCTGGGACCTAGCAGGAGAAAACAACGGATAAAAAACTGAAAAACAAAGCTTTGGGGCCATATTTGTGTGGCAGAACGATGCCCAGTTCCTGTCTGCTTCAAGCTACTTCACTCAAAGACGATTAGCTCAGCAGGCTAACTTTTGAAGCTGTTAAGCTTAACTTTTTCCATTTTCTTGTTCCCTTGCCCCGTCTAGATTCCAGTGGTGGTTAGTGCCTCTACCGTTTGGCTTTCTCATCTTTGTGTATGACGAAATCCGAAAACTGGGAGTCCGGAGACACCCTGGAAGTAAGTTACAAGCTTGGGTAAGGAGAGGAGGGAGGCACAAGTTGGCATAAGGTTCACAGAAGGTTTGATTCAGACATCTTCTACTGCAGTTATCAATCCTGGATCGTTCAGAAATAGTGCTATACCACTTAAGGGTACACCACTTTGTTTTTCCATCGTCTGACAAACTGCTGTAGGCATCAATGATATCACTGTCACCCTCAGTCTGATCCCCACGTTGTTTCTTTCTTCCAGGTTGGTGGGACAAAGAACTTTACTATTAAAGATGAAACTCTGAGCACAAATACGTCCCCACTGGCATGGTTTGTGCTGCCTGGGATGCTCCCTGTGGGTGCAAAATGCTGCAGTAAGAAGGAACCTAGGATTTGCTTTCTTCATTAGCTACACCTTCAACTGAGCTTGCTGAATTTCTTGCCCTTCCTATGATGAAATTCCATATTCCACATGTCCTGCTCTAGCTAGTCTGGGACAAGAATCTGCCCATCATCAAGAAAAAAAATATTTGGAGGTGCTGATATGCTAGGGGAAATGGACAGTCTTTGAGATGGAAACCAAATATAAACGTTGGTAGAGATATAAAGTGTGTGGGTTTTTTTCCAAAATATAATAGGTTTCAAAACCCCAAGCCTGCAAATAAGGCAATATGATCTCAAGGAAGAGTAAGTTGAGCAGGTTGAGTAAGTGGTTTGCCCTCTCCATAGAAAAAGCAGGATTTTTTTAAAAAAACATATATAAGATATGCAATGGCACATTAGCTTCACTTTCAATTTCTGCATGATTTGGACTTTTGGTCTCCTTGGATTAGTAGTTCCCAAAACATAAATCTTACACAGAAGAAGTTTCACATTCTTACACAGAAGAAGTTTCACATAGTGGATGAAAGGAGAGAAATTCATACACAGGCAAGCAACCTCCCTTCAAGATAACCAGACAATGAAGCTATCTAAACGTATCTTCCATTCCTTCAAATTCTGATTACCCTATAGCACAATGGACTGCAATAAGAAAAAAGATGATATACGCCTTATGACGGCATCAGGCAAACATGATTTATATATTTGCCCCATACTTTATGAGACAAGTCAATAATTTTGTTGTTTGCGTAATGGTGTTATTTTGACATCATTCATCAGTTATCAGATGGGCAGATCATACCACCACCACAAACCACCTCCTGTACATGTGGGAGACTTCCCTTCTTCCATGGCTACCACCCTATGAATAAAAAGAATGACCCTTCCATCTTTCTCCAGTCAATTCGCTCATCGATGTGGAGCTAACTATAAGATTGAATTAAAGGGAAGGATCACCGTGCCCACAAAGTCTCATTTAATCGTTTTTAAGAACCCAGTTCCTGCAGAAGAAAATACCCTGAGAGTCAGACTTACTTGCTTTGGGCTAGTATACTTCATGTAACTGTACTTGCTGGTATTCATCAGTTATTATCTAAAAAAAAATTAAGTATTATATACGCCCCGGGACAAAAATGAATCTTTCTGCTTCTGTTGCTTTACCAGTAGGAAGGACAATTAGATATATATGCACATGGACTACAGAGGTTTCCAAAGAGTGTCATCATAATGCTCCCTAAATCTAGCCAGTTACTGTTCACATTCCCTGAACAAAACAAAAATGATTTGCAGAGTGAGAACTCTTTTGCTGCCAAGATCACGTGAAGAGGGACCTCAGACGATGCCTGTTCATATAATCCTGTGTTTCTCGTTACCACTTGGAACTACACCACAACATCCTCCATTATGATGGCCTTTAGCAAAGGCAGCATCCATGCCATGTGCAAGAGGAAAAATCAAGACCCACTTTATTATTATCCCCATGACAGGCCAAACCATAAAAGCCTTAATTTTAATTTTGCCATTTTATCCCCAGCTATGTAGGGCTTTGCCTGCAAACCTTTATACACACCAAATCCTAAATAACCTCAGCTTCAAATGTAATTCAAGCGTTATTACTAAAATTCACTGTGCCTTTATCTTTGAACTTCTCCAAACCCCATCCAGTTTAGGTTAGATAATATGGCAACAGTTTCTACGAGGGAAGAGTGCCAGGCACATCACGATGCAAATGATGTAGCCTATAATATGACTGATGTACTTGCATACAATGCCATAAGTGTTACCTTGTATATTAATGATCTTACTACGTGTTGTCATTTTTATGTTATTCTAGCTGGTTATGGATGCTGATGCAATAGAACTAAGACTGAACAGGGTAGGAGTATGAAATTATTGTCTATACTTGTTGGTTTAGTGATATCCATCTTGTCGGCTTATTGGGTTGCATAAATACCATCATAATGTAGGAAAGACACGCAGAGAGCAGCCAAATGAATTCAAACTGGGCAAAGTATAAATAATACTTTTTAAATTAGCATCATTCTTGGAATGCCACAGTGATCATAACTGGAACCGGTCTCAGCGCAGGAAGGAAGTGCAAAGGCCTGCACACCTTCGCAAACAGAATCCGTAGCTGGGCGATCTTAGGATGTACAAAGACACGGTCACTCAAGTGGGAGTAACAATTGGTGGAGCTTCAGTTGCTGTGTACCAGGGTGACAAAAAGTGCCAAGGAGCTGAAGGAAAGGAGGCCAGTGATCACCGCTTTCACCAGAAGTGCAGTCCAGCTACCCAGGAGAAAGACGTGCACAAATGACCTAGAAAAGCAGAGAGAAGGAGGTGAAGCCTGAGATTTTAAGGCTGGCAAAAAAAAACACCACGCCCCACTATTGCATCAATATCCCAAGCTTGATTTGCACACTGCAATGAACCTAGATACTGTGAATCACACGCATGATCAGCTACCAACTCTCCTTTATTTAAAAAAATTGTCCAGTTTGTCATATAAAGAGCCAGCAAGCTGACCTGATGGCTTTTGGTGCTGGATGAATACAAGCAAATGTAGCCACAGAGAGGAGCGTCCACTGGGTGGGGGAGGGTAAAGAAAGTCAAGGTGGTGGTTGCGATCGCAGGCCCCCTCCCGCAATTTTTACTTTTTTTTTTTTTTTTAAATAAATTTTATTAAATTTACAATTAAAAACATATCGACATTACATACACAAAAGGAAAAAAACAAAAAAAGAACACTCGGTCTTACAAACTGGAAAGAAAAGAGAAGAGGAGATGTAAAAGAAAGAAAGAAACAAAGGAAGAGAAAGAGAAAAAAGAAAAAAAAAGATGCGTTTAAAAACAGACATATGTGGTGGTCTTGCAAAGAAACCCAGAAATATTGGCAAAAAATCAGAAAATGGTTGGAGGAGATAACCAAAGAACAAATCGAATACAAACCAGAGTTCTTCCTACTAGGGATCTCTGATAAACATTTACCCAAAAAGATGAAATATGTAACAATTCATATCCTAACTGCAGCCAGATTAGCGTTTGCCCAGTGTTGGAAATCACCCTATGCACCTACAGAACAAATGGTCATCCAGAAAATATGTGATTGTGCAGAAATGGATAAATTAACTATAGCACTTAAAAACAAAGAGGCTTCAACATTTTACGATAATTGGAACTCTTGGTATAATTGGTTAGTCCAGAGATAAACTGCTTAACGGACAATGGGTAATTTAAGCATAGATATCGATAAGATGTGTGTATTCAAATTAAGGTAGGAGAATTGGATCTTGCAGACTGTCAAAAAGGATATTGTCTGTTTTTTTTGTCTGAATTTTTACTTTTTTTGACCTAGCACAAATACTGAGATGGGAAAGTTCTCCAAGCATTCGAGCAAAGGAAAGTCTTGATTCTTTGAGAAGAGGAAGGGGAATTTTAAAAGAAAGGGAGCTATAGTGAGGATGCGGGAGGCCCAGCTTCAATTCCTCACTCATACAAAAAGGTTACTCAGTTCTGGGGCGAAAAGGATTATTGTACAGAAAATAAAGGAAAGGGGAGACTTGAACCAAGGATCTGGGAGTTCCCAAGGTCCCACCACCACCACCCCAGTAACCTCCCTTGGCCACTTTAATTCCACCAAGAGCACTCACTCCATAAAGAAGGCTTTGTAGATACTGACACCCAGGAGGAAAGTAAGGGGCAGTCGGTAATGTTTGGGTAAATCGTAGCGGGTGAACATCCACACCAGGGCAGCGGTGGCGATGTAATGAACCTGAAAGGGCACAATAGGAGGGATAAGGAAAGATTTCCAAATACTTTCAAAAATCTAACTGCCAATCAGAATATCTGACATTCAAGTCACCTGGGATTTATAAAAACATTGCAGTATAAAATCTAAATATGCTTCTTCCAATGCTAGCTAGCTAGCCAGCTCTGCCCTTGTTCGATTTTCTCCTTTACAAAGCCCTCTAAGTTCAGGATGCCCCTTAGTGCTTTGCTGGCCCCTAAGTTCACCCAGTTTCCATTTTAGCTCTTGGGTACGAAACCCAGTTCCTTGTTTCTCAGCATTAGAAACTTGAAGATGTGTGGACTTCAACTCCCAAATTGGTTGGCTGGGGAATTCTGGGAACTGAAATTTTCAAGTAGCTATAGTTGAGAAACACGGCCTTAAGAGTTTTTTTCTCCATCAAAGAAACAGTCTGGGGAATTCTTTACTGAAGTCGTGTTTGATTACAGAATAGAATGTGTGTGTGTACACACACACACACACACACACTCATGACATAGTGTTTTAAAATTAAATCCTAGTAAATGCATGAAAGTATATGAATGCCCTGTCTATGAAATATTTTATTTTACTCTTTCAGATGCAAAGTTCAACAAATTTAATGAACCGATTGATATTTTTAATTGGACTGCCAATCCAAATGTATATAGCAGGGAGCCAAATCTACATACATTACCCAAAAAAACCCAACCCTCTCAGTAAACAAAAAACATCTTCCTAGTCCTCAATAATTTAATCCTGTCATACGAGGTATCATTTTAGAGCTCAACCGAAAACTGGGAGAAAATTAACACTTACCAGGCTGATGTTGGAATCAATACTCATCTGAATGTATTTCCAATCAAACTCAATGCCACGAGCTCCCACCCACAGTGGGATGCATCTGTTGGAAGCACGGAGGCAATTAGGATGGGAAACCTCATGAAGACAGAGACACAAAACTTTGCACAGGGGCCTTGCAGGCTGCTTTGTCGAGCCATCATCAAAAACGTGGGCAAGCAAATGCCAATCTAGTTTCTCCCCTCCCTTTTCTGAGCAGTGATAAATCCAACTCACCGAGACATAATGAGCTCCGCCGTGGCCCAGCCCAGTGCAGCGACCATGATCTTATATTCCCCTTTTCCCGCGTTCCGGGACATCACTAGGTGCAGACCCACCAAGTCAGCCAGGTCTACGGTAGCTTTCATGAACTCCTGAAGCACAAGACAAAGCTCAGAAGCAGGCAAGCAAACTCCATGTTTCAACCCCAAAGGTTCACACACGCACATCCAACAAAGGAAGAGTCTGATGAAAGAGCATTCAGTTAGGTCTCTGACAGGCTCTACAGGCAGTAGCAGCCAGTATTCATACTTATGCTCCAACAACTTACACTATTATTTGCTAATGGAAGTGAGATTACAGTGCTACAGATTTGCAAAATATACTCACTTCCCCCTGTCCAAAAAATGTACTCAAACCCCAAATTACTCTATACTCAAAAGTTATTTATCTCAGTAAGATGGTCTTACTTAGGAAAGTAGTTATTTAATAAAACTTTCTGCCACCTTCAGCATTTATTTACAAACTATTTACAAAGTGTACACTACTATTACTGTTAATCTTCTCATCACTCCTTATCACCCATCCCCTCCCACTTGTGATTGTAGGGCTGTAATTTTGTTGCTTGTATCCTTACGATTTATACTGACTGTTTCCTAGTATGATTTGATTGTTGATTTTACCCTATGACTACCATTAAGTGTTGTACGTTATGATTCTTGATTCTTAACGAATGTACCTTTTCTTTATGTGTACTGAGAGTATTTACACCAAGACAAATTCCTTGTGTGTCCCATCACACTTGGCCAATAAAGTATTCTATTCTATTCTATCTATTCTAAAGATGAGGACGCATTTTCAGGCCTAGGTTGAAAATAGGAAAATAGAGGAAAATAGAAATTTCAGTTTCAAAAGAGGCTCCAGCCCCCACAGGATCGGTAAACTCACAAGATATATAAGTGAAGAATGACAAAGTACAAAGAAAAATCCACCAGGAGGAAAACAAAAACCCCCACTGTCCTTTGGATTTTTGTTTTGTAAATACATGTGTCTCTTGAGCATCTAGCTGTATGCAAAATGCCAGCTTTTAAGACTCTTCCTTGCTTGCCAACAACCACACTTACTCCAACGAAATCATAAGCTCCTGCACCACCCTCCCAGGTTGGAAAGAATGTAGCTAAAAACAGCATCTGTAAAAGACAGAAAGAGAAGAGTCCGTTGCAACTTTTTACCATTACAGGCCTCACGTCTTTGCACCCAGATTCGCATTCAGCCCTTCAGCCCTCCTTTAGCAAAAAGGTGTTAACCCATTACCTTGCATAGCTGGACAAAGAGGTAGGTGGCTCCCGCTTGCACACATCGCCAGAAGGCATTATATTCTGACCTGCATGAGAGAGACAGTACAACCATGCCTTGGATAAAGTCTCTATTTTTGCACAGCATTACGTGGCGATTGACCCATGGCAAACCAAGGGTCTTCAAACTTGGCAAGTTTGAGACTTGTGGATTTCAACTCCCAGAATCTCTGAGCTAACATGACTGGAGGAGGAATTCTGGGAGTTGAAGTCCACAAGTCTTAAAGCTGTCAAGTTTGAAGACCCCTGCCATAAACAGATCACCAAAGAATGAATCAAAATGCTGCTGCACCATCCTAAAAACTACCACAGGGATTTCAGGGGCTGCAACGCAGTATAAATTCCCAAACTCTCAAAGCACCACTTAAAGCAGCGTTTTCTCAACCTTGGCAACTTTTATAAATCTGCATGCATTCCTTCCCAGCCACACCCAGCCAGGAATCCGGCCCGGGCTTGCAGCCCCTCCTTGGCAAGAGGAGAACCCCCTCCCCTTTTTTCTCATCTGCCAGGCAACTACTGCACCTCAGGGAGCAGCCGAGGCAATGGCAGCAGTCCCAGCCAGGAGTCTGTGTGTCTGATCAAAGCTAGCTTAGCTCTTGGCCCAGAACGGATGAGCTTCTGTCTGTGAAATGGCAACTTGGCTGTTGTTGGAGAAGGTTAATTTGCTGGTAGGGTGGATTAAAAGTATTTTAAAAAAAAAAATAGCTGTAAAAGCTTCTTGGTGCATTGAACAGCAGTTACTGCAGTATTAAGGTGGTGTTTCTCAACTTTATAAATCTGTGTACGTCAGCTCCCAGAATTCCTCAGCCAGCCATGTAAAAAGTAAAAAGAAAAAGTTGATATATTTAGACCATTAGGTGTTATATTCCGCAGGAAAATAAGTTTTTCAACTTTTCAACTTTGGCTGGGGAGTTCAGGAAGTAGAGTTCAGAAGTAGATTAAAGTTGCCAAAATTGAGGAAATTACAACAATATAACACATATTTGGTTCTACGCATCCTAATGTTGGAAAAACCCAGAAACCCTTGCAGACAATATTACAATCAAAAAAAATTCTGGAATGTGCAGAGATGGATAGGTTAACCCTAAAAATTAAAGGAAAAGAAGATTCGGACTATTTCATAACATGGGAACCATTCTATAAATAATTAAATGACAGATATTGAGGTTAGAGGAGTGGAATTAGGTAAAATATGGTTTATAGGAGAAAAACAGATGAGTAAATATTTCTGAAGGTTATATAATCAATACTATAATGGAATATGTTATAATATGATTGATGTTATATTTGTGTGTGTGTGTGTGTGTGTGTGTGTGTGTGTGTGTGTATGTATGGTATTCAGCTTTGTTCGGGTATTTTCCCACGTCATTATAGTTGTGCTTTTAAAGTTGTAGCAACGTTTCGGCAGAATCTCATCTGCCATCATCAGGCTTCTGTATTGTGCCTGTCTGGAGAAGTGATAACCCGGGACCATGCTATTCT